AAGGCGAAGCATCCATCGACCTGAGTAACAGCTAAGGCGAAGCGTCCATCGACCTGAGTAACAGCTAAGGCGAAGTGTCCATCAACCTGAGTGACCTTGAGTTGGCCATGCTCACCCAGTCACATGACCACCAAGCCCCACCTACCCAGATGGTCATTAGGGCAGAGAACTGGTTGTTAAATTATTTGAATCCCACCACTGGTGGGAAGGTAACAGTGTTCCATGCGCCTTCGGCATTTAGTCATACTTGCTACGTGATCATGGAGACAGCTTTGAAACGGAGATGAGCACTGCCCCCTAGAGTCAGGAATGACTAGCACATATGTCCGAGGGGAACCTTTACCTTATCATCTCCCAATACATTTCCCAGCCTAACAGTTGAAGCATCAAGAGCTACAACAGGGCACAAGCTATAAAATACATTGCTCTCAACTACTTGATTAAAAGGCTCCATTGAGGAGGTCCTGGCTACACTGGCTTAGCATGGTTTCTTCAGTTCTTACCACTGCCAAATCTGGACATATCTCCAAACCTGGTCTTTTACAAAATCTTGATCAATATCCATCTGGGGAAAAAGATCTGGTGAAAATATAACGCTTTTCATTTGCAACTGTTAAGAAGGATCCATATAAACAGCATTGTCCATTGGTGTTTAAATGAATTTTAATACAGACTTCTTATAATGTGAGATTTATATGGCTAAAGTGTGATGATATACTTCTTCAACAGTACCTTCTGGATACTACAAATGGGGCACATCCATTAGGGACATTAAAATACAGAACTTCAGGGTAATTTAAAAAAAAATGGATGTAGTTCTCAGAGTCAATCTAAAAGTTATTATCAAACTGTAGTTCTTTGTAATGGGGCAGAAAAGGAATCTTAATCTTATGTATCTAATAATCATATATGTTGTAGCTTATTAATTTAATTTCAAATGAAATGAAATCATTTTTATGTCCTCTCCCAACTTTTGGGGAGTGTACCCCCCAGCTTCCTACACAAAAACCCAAATCAGAGATAGTAACTAAATTAGGCAATAATAGGTTCTGATAATGATTCACCATGTTAACCCTTTAAAATGAGAAATACAAACGTATTTAGGACTTTTAAAGAAACTGGATTATTTCAACACGGCAAGGTGAATCATAACAACCATGGGAGAATAATTTTTCTGAGTATCACAAGCCCCTAACATTTTATAAAGGATTGACCTTTCTCATTGTTTTGTTATCACCAAAATTGTTCTAAATTGAAGTCCTGGAGAGATGCAGTAATCTTTGAAAGTAAAACAGAAAAGAAATATTCTACATAAATACTTTTATTTCAGCTGAGTGTCATTTCTTAATAATGATCGCATAGGAGCTCCAGTTGCTTTATTCAGAAAACTGAAGACATAAGGAGAAGCAACTTGATATCCTTCCTGCGTGTGGTTGGTCTTTACAAAGAATGTCCCCCCCCTCCTTTATTTTCCTTTCTATTTAAAACATTGCTAATGCAGTAGATGTGTTGCTAGTTCAGAGGCATTAACTGCAATTCTAAATTTACAGTAATACGTCAGTTTAGTTAGTGTTTTTGTGTCCAATGCTTTACTGAATTAAGTAGACAAAGTCTATGTACTCATACAAAACTGGAGGGGGGGGGATCCTCTAAAATAAAATACTATTCAAGGTCTATCAAAAAAGTATCCATAAAAGTTAAATGGTTCATTAGGTGATTTATGTACCACTATTTTCAATACAATTAACACTAAACCAAAAAAGCCACATTTTTCTCCCTCTGCCTAAACAAATCAGCTGCTGGCTGTGAAGGAGAGTGAGTCCCCTTCCTTCATTTTCATCCAGTCTGTTTTTGTCATTTTTAAAATCTTTCTTCCTTTTAATTGGTTTTATTATAATTCTCTTGTTTTGGGTTGTTGTGAGCCACCCAGAGTCGTTGGGAATCAGGTGGTACACAACATAGATAGATGATAGATAGATAGATAGATAGATAGATAGATAGATAGATAGATAGATAGATAGATAGATAGATAG